AATCTTCCAGAATCCTCTAAGTCGCCTTCTCAAACTGATACTCCAAGTACTCGCTAAAACAGTGCGACTAAACCCACTGGAGCACTTCCTAGGCTTTCCTAGGTCTTCGACCTCACCCAGCCATCAGCTATTGAAGAACTCCCCACAATGTCAGTTAACCACCTCATGAATACAATCATATGCAACAAAGCTTAGATAATCCTTCGAGTAAAAGACTCATCCCTAGAACGGTTAGACTCAAACGAGAGTTGTGCAATAGGGTCAAATCCATCACTCTGAGATTATTTAACCTTTGTCACATGTGACTTAACATATTCACTTAATGGCTAACTCACATCACTTAAGAGTTCCACAAAGCACAAAGCAAGCAGCATTCGTGCAGTAGCACTCCAATCCATAGAATCACCAAAGAGCATTCAAACTTACATACTACAACTCATGCTAAGAACTTCCACTCTCATTGTCGGTTGCCTTATGCATGCAAATTATACACAATACATGATCAAATAGACTGTCGAATAAAAGACTTTACCCTAGGACCACAACCAAACAAGGAACATGAAATAGGCCAAATCAATCATTCTAGGGCTATATGACCCTTACCGTATACAATTTTTAAAGCATACACTTAGCAATTACTGATACCAATAAATATTCCCAATCTAGCATAGCATCCAATGCTTCCTAAACTACGAGGCATCACACATTAGGCCAATTTATCATGCAATTCCTGAAAGTATCCCTAGCCTTATCCTAGCATGCAACTCTCATAACATATAATCGTAAAAAACATGTATGGGTATTATGGGAATCACTTACTTGAGCTCGGCCGATTGCACGTATCACACCCCCTTTGTCTTTATAAAATCGTTTTAGAAATTTATTCCCTTTTACAAAATATTTTTAAAAACTCTTTTTCTTTCAACAGATTATCAATTCCTCAGTTTGAGTTCAGACATACCCGAGAGTGTGCCTCAATCCCTCAAACCAAGGCTCTGATACCAACTTGTAACGTCCCAAAAATTATGAGGTAACATTTTCATTTTTAATTCAACCAAAACACCAATTATCTTTTAGTCAAACATCCATTATCCTTTTTCTAATTATTCAAAAGTACTTCATAATGAAAACAGTTATCATAGTACAATCCCAAAATCATTATAATGCAGAAACATGGGTCGATGCGCTGCGATCAAGTCGGGCCCTTCCCTTTCGAACCGGAAGTACCTGAAAACATAACCATAAAACCGTAAACACAAACATTAGTGAGTTCCCCAAGATACCACATACCATACATACCATTGGGCCTAGCCCTCACATAGGGCCCAACCCGCATATTGGGCCAATGCCACCATAATGGGCCCAGCCCAATCATACAAATGCAAAAGTCATAAAGACAATTAGCACTTTCATAATATACAATGGTCCTAGCCCTTCCTGATCCATGGGCCTAGCCCAAAATACAAATAGGCATAGCCCAACCATATAAATGGGCCCAACCCAACTTACTAATGGGCCTAGCCCAACATACCATGCAAGAGTCACAAAGACAGATAACATAACTTATCCTAGTGGGCCGACATTGGTGCCTTCGACCCACAAGTATAGTGAGGAGACTCACCTCTAGTTGCTGAAACACTCGAATAGATCTCTGACTGCTGGTCCGGAGAATCCCCACGCTATCATCATCAATAATATCCAATTATTAATTGGATTCCAACCCATAACCAAGAGTCTAAACTACTTAGCCCATAACCAGGGTAAAACACCATTCTACCCTTTATCTCACTTGGCCCAAAGCCAAGGCCCAACTCAACTACTCCCAAGGCCCAAATCCTAAATGATATTCCAAAGCCCAATATGGCCCAATCTTCCAAATTAGGCCCAAAACCCATCATGGGCCTAAATCCAAAAGAGCCCAAAAAATACAAACCAGAAGCCCAAAAATAGAAGTCTAATGGTCCAATCAGGCCCAAAATAAGAAAACCCAAGCAATGGCCCAAACTGAGAATACCAAGCCCAAACGTCCATCCGCTGAGTACGCGGGGTGTACTCAGCTTGTAGGCTAAGCGTACTCCGTCCAGGATCAGTACGTACATCGTACCAGCTGGGTACCCCCAACGTACTCCCCATACCACCTTTTCGCTCCAATAAGCACTTAATCGGTTGAGACCTCAAACCAAACTCTTAGATCTGATTCTAAAAGGAAACTTATCACGTAAAGTTGGTAACTTTACACTCATGGATGGCTTAAAGGGACTCTAAAGCTCAAAAAGAGCTTAATAAAGGTCTTAATGCCTGCATGGACCAAAAAATCTTCCATAAAGTTGACATTTTTATGAACATGGGGACTAAATGGAGCCAAGATCTAGCATCCGTAACTTCTAGAGTAGATCAAAAGCTCACCTTTAACTCAAAAGTCTCCAAAAGTGCACAAAATACACCATAAACTAGATCTAACACCAAAGACCATCAATGTGAGAGCTTTTTTTACCTCAAAATGCTTGCAAATGAGTATAAGATCCTCGATCTACAACCTCAAGTTATCCCCTCAAGTGCTCTTCTTCTTCTTCTTCTTCTTCTTCTTCACAAACCACCAACAAACACTCTTTCAAGCTCAAGACTCACCAAATCACTCCAGGGTTCCGATTTCAGGGTAATGGGAGATGGAGGCTGGTATAAAATGTCCAAGAGATGAAATAATGATGCTTTAATAGGGTGCAGACCCTAAAAATTAGGGTTTTCATTTGGCTGCAGTACGCCCCATGCGCCCAGCGTACTCCATAAAGTGCCTGCGATCCCTTCTGCCTAGTACGCCTAACGTACTCCCTTGTACGCCCTGCGTACAAGGCTTAGCCTTTAAACCACTAACTTCCGTAGGCCATAACTTCTTCATTCTATGTCCGATTTCGACGATCCTTATATCCACGGAAAGGCAATGAGAAACTCTACACTTCTATCAACTCATTCTTACCTTAAAACTTCCCGAACTAAAATTTAATATTCATAAAAGCCCGAACTGCCGCATTACGGTCATACCCTTGAGCTCCAAATCACAAACCGAACTCCCGGATCATCTAACTTACCTTACCCACACCCAATGGGTCTAAATCCCTCTTTCCCAAAGGACCTAATCCTTATGATAACCGATCTTCGGGTTACAGCCCCGAATTAGGAAACGATTCGGAACAAGGGGTTACATTGAAGGAGTAAACAGAGGAACAAGAGCGATGACATTTATCTGCTCGAAATGGTGGTGCCCATGAGAAGGAAATCGCCTGAGAAGTAGAGAGAGAGAGAGAGTGTGTGTGTGTGTGTGTGTGTGAGTTGTATCAATTAATGGGGAAAATGGTTTTCTCAAGTTTGTACTCTGTCTAAACCCTATGTCTAAACCTTATAGGGACGACTTGTCGTTATATACCTTTCTACAAAATGATGTCGTTTCTTTTTTTTTTCTGGATAAATACATTAAAAAATATGTGTATATTTAAATTTATTTATTTTTGGGACGATATGTCTTCCCTTTAGATTTTTGGATACCCGTGAAAGTTTTTTTCGTTCCTCCTCAACCAATAGAGACAATTTATCGTCGCTTTAGCTTTGAAGTCAAATTTTAATAGTCAACCTTATAGCGACGACAGTCGTCCTTATAGGGTCCTCTATAACAATGACATTCTTCGTCCTTATAGCTTCTTCGTTGTAGAGGTTTATTCTTGTAGTGTTCGTTCAAACCCTACTTTTAAATATCATTTCCTCTTCTTCAATCAATGAGATTAAGTAAGAATCAAAGCTCGTTCGATAGTAATCTCCTAGTTGATATAGAATCAGACATTAATATTAGAGCCTTATTAAGGCAAACATTGTTTGATTTGAATAGCTCGTGCATTTGCATTTGGATCAAGACTCAAACAAATCCACTTACAGAGAAGAATTGAGAAGAAGCTAGAGGATTTTTTCTTTACTAAAAAAGATTACATGTTACTAGAAAGGGATTTTCGTGCTTGTGAAATCATCATTCTCAATCCCGTTTGTCTTCATCCTCCCATGTTGTTGTGATATCGTTTCAATCTCCTTGGAATTATATAAGGATTTTTATGCTTGTTTTCTTGCTCCAAAGATTTTCCCGAGTCTTTGATTAAAATCTCCATGGAATTATTTAGGTTTTTGATGCTTGATTTCAACTTCGTATGATTTTTAATTCTTATGCATATCTTCCAAATCATATTAGAATTGTTGCTCCTAGGACTTTTTTTTTGGTTGTAGGTTTCTTTTTAGATGGGGGGTACAAGTACATAATTTTTAGGGGAGAAGAAGCCATTAAAGAACATGGTGGAGTAAGAAAAGAAGAAATGGGTGTTAATGGTGGAGAAAGAGATCGTTATTTATTTATTTATTTTTTTCTAAATAAAAGACTATAAAAAAAGAATTGCTTGTAATAAAGGTAAATTAAATTAAAAAAAGTTTTTACATCGGCCAAACGGATAGACAATTTTTGAAACCACATAGATATTCCATATGAATTTTAATAGTTTTTTTTTTAATATATATCTATATATATATATAATATATAATATATATATATATATATATATATATATATATATATATATATATATATATATGGAAAACCACAAGTACCAATAACATTATTTTGTTAATAATTTATAAAGGAATTGCAGAGATAAATTTATTTAGAGAAGCTTATGGATAATTGCTATAACACGTAACATCTTGCATAAGTTCATAACAGTAATAGATTACTATTGCACATTTCTCAATGATATCCACTACTACAAAGTAAACGATGAACCCTACCACATACCAGAAATTTGATTAAAATATTATACTAGACACGACTGAATATTTTGAAAGCTAAAGGACTTGGACTAATAAATTCTGATCAATATATCTGTAGAATCATTAAAGTCTTCAACCTAACAAAATTAAATACCTGTACTACTGTTGTGTACTTATTTAAACGAGAATAGATGTCTACTATATTTCAAATTTAAACGATAGTATTTGCATTCTCTAACTCTAATATGATCCTGAGGGTGATTGTGGCACTCTTTGCTGTGCTTGTACATGCACAAGCATATACAGACATTGCAAAGCTAAGGGTATTTGCAGCCAAGAACAATGTGTCTTGCATTTTCGTGTTTGGCGACTCTAGTGTTGATCCTGGTAACAACAATAACCTTATTACGGACCAAAAGGTTAACTTCTTGCCTTATGGTAAAGACTTCTACAATGGCCGACCTACCGGCCGGTTTAGCAACGGAAGACTTGCAACTGATCTCATTGGTATCATACTATTTAAATCATTTTCCGATTACCATAACCATGTACTTACGTTACATCTGTCTAATACCTTGTTTTACAGCGGAGGCATTGGGTCACACGAAAACCATACCAGCGTATCTTGATCCAAATTTGACAAATGCACAACTTCCTAATGGTGTAAGCTTCGCGTCTGGTGGTTCTGGTTTTGATGATCTTACTGCCGAGCTCTCCGTAAGAACTCTGTAGATTATATATATTTTTACTCCAATCTAACGGAGTGTCTTGAACCAATGGTCATATTTTCCATATTACTTTTGCATGACTTAGAACGTGATATCACTCTCCAAACAATTGGATTACTTTCGGCAATACAAGGCAAGACTAGGAAGGCTAGTGGGGAAGAAAAGAGCCCAGAAAATCGTCACAAATGGTGTGTTTTTACTGAGCATGGGTACGAATGACTTCCTACAGAACTATTACATCCAGCCTACTCGTGCTAAACAATTCACCATAGACAAGTATCAAGATTTCTTGATTTCTGCCATGACAAAAAAACATGGAGAGGGCTCTCTCTCTGAGCATCTCTCTCGATCTCGCTCGCGCTTCGCGCTCTACGCGCTCGCGATCGATCTCTCTCGGTCGCTCTCTCTCGCGCGTCTCCTCGGATCTCTCTCGCTCTCTCTCGCTCTCTCTCTCTCTCTCTCTCTCTCTCTCTCTCTCTCTCTCTCTCTCTTATATCATATATATATATAGAATATATATATATATATATATATATATATAAAAGAAAAGATTATATGGAAAACAAAAAAACCCTAAAAATTATAAAAATACATAAAAAAAAAAATACTTAGAGATCATAAATCTTTTTATTGACTTTATATATAAAAGAACGCAGTGTTTTTTATAAATTCGCTGAAAAGAAAGAAAAAAAAACGATTTTTTCTTTTTGGTTTTTTTTTCAAAAATATTTTCAGCGAAATTATGTAAAAAGACGAATTTTAAAGATATAAACTCAAAAAAAAATTTTGTGATCTCTAAATATTTTTTTATGTATTTTTATGATTTCAGAGTTTTTTATAGGGTTTTTTGTTTTTTATGTATGATTTTATATTAGTTTTTTGGTTCTAAATTTTTTAGTTTTCAATAGATCAACTCGGTGTGTCTCTATATATATATATATTATATATATATATATAATATATAATATATATATATATATATATATATATATATATATATATATAGACACACCGAGTTGATCTATGAAAACTAAAAAATTTAGAACCAAAAACTAATATAAAATCATACATAAAAATACTACAAATATTTAATCATTTTTCTTGACTTTCGAAACAATGCATCTTTACTCTAAGTAGGTTAGGAAAAAAAATGTAAAGAGTCCATACATCTAATTAATAATGTATTGGAGAGGCTCATACATATATCGTGAGAGGTGTTGAAATCTAATATGATAGTTAGATATATCATATACATCTCATTAATATACATCAATATATGTTGGAATCTATCTCATTCCCTAGATGATATAATCTAATTTTAATTAAAGGTTGAGGAATGGTACAAAAGTCAAATTATATATATGGTACTATTTATTAATTGTAACTAATTTATGTTATTGAACATTATATAATAGTTTTCTCGAATGTTCAATAGCATAATCATCGATAATGTAAACATTCATTGTGGGAACAACCTAGCTGCTGATGTCTTTATCTTTAGTAGTGATATGACATATATGATTATATATTTGTTGGTGGATATTGTTTTTTAAAAGTGATGGCATTGCAATAAAGTGTAAAGTGATTGTAAGAGTTGATATGACATAACTGAAATAAGAATGCATGACATGCTAATGTGTATTATAGTACAACATGTGTAAATATGACTTATTAACCTATTGATATTCTACTACAAACAAACCTTTCATTAAACTACAAACAAACTTTGCAGTAACTGATGTAAGCAACATCACCACATAGATTTTACTAAAAAGTGTTTGCGTTATGTTTTTTTTTATTATTTATTATAATACTAATTTATAAATAAAGGATAATGACTTTAAAAGGTAACCAACTATACATTTTATACATATTTGGTCACTTAATTTTTTTTATGCACTGGTAACCCTTAAACATATATTTTTGTTTAAAACATATCATTATTACCTGCAATTATTGCAAGTAACACTGGTTTTGAGAGGTTTTCCAGTGATATTTCCGGGATTCCTTATCTCCGGTCATCTTCTCAGGTAAAAAATCAGTTTTCCAGCCATGATAGATTTCGAGTTCATCCATGGTTTTAGAATACATGTGAAACACATAAAAAAAAGTTCATCCATGGCAAATTCCGAGTTCGTTAAAGGAAGTTTATCCATGGCAGAGTTCGAGTTCGTCAATGGAAGTTTTTTCAGGTTCTCGTTTCTGGAACCCATGATGTTCTTCGAGTTTAAACCCTTCAACCCATATTTGGAATCCATTTTGTTTTTTGGAACACACATCTGAAATCAATTTTGTTTCTGATGAAGAAACCCTAACAAGAATCGAACTCGATTTCGGATCTCGTTTCTAAACCCATTCATCTTCATCGATTTTTAACCCTTTAAACGAAATTAATTTCAAACACACTTATGAAATCAATTTTGTTTCTGATGGATAATTTCAAACAAACATATCAAAACGAAATCAATTTCAAACACAAAAATGACAATTTTGTTTTTGAAGAAACCTAAATCGAAACCTAACTAATTTCTGGAACCAAACAAAGAATCCACGAATCTGGAACCAAATCGAAGTTTGAAGGTTGAACTCGTTGGTTTTTGTCTGTGTGCCTCAGAACTCGCCGGAAAATTCATAGTTAGCCGAAAAAGGTGACCGGAGAACATGTTTAATCGGAAATGACGCACGAAACCAGCAAAACTCACTCTACCTGGTCATATTGATACTTTTTGAACAATTTCAACAAGTTCAATGATATATCAAGCACACAAATACGTTTAGTGATTAAATATGTACAAACTCAAGAGTTGATTATCCTTATAAGTCATTATCCCTATAAATAATTGTTGTCTCAAAAAATACAAAACATGTGTGTATTACTCTATTCAAAATAAATTCTAAAGAAAAAATATTGTTTGTTCGTGTTGCATAATAATAGTCAATGGAAACATAACTAAAAATGTAATAAAAAATTTGCAGGCATGAGTTGCTAGGATGTGAATAAAATAATGTCATATTAATGGTTTTATTCTTTGTATATTAATAGTCTTTGTTGACCAAAGGGCTTGTAGCCCAGCGGTATCAGGTGGTGCCCTCCCTCTTTGAGGTCGAGGGTTCAAGTCCCGTCGTGGACATAGGTGGAATAGGTGTTGTTAGTTTAGTAGTAGATTAGATTTGCCGGTTCAAAAAAAATTAATAGTCTTTGTTGGTTTGCTTTTTACCAAGTATTTTTGATTGAAATTTTAGGAAATGCATGTCGAGGGTGCAAGGAGACTGGCAGTGGTGGGAATGGAGCCATTTGGGTGTATTCCACTCATTAAAGCGCTTAGAGGAACAGTTGAGTGCGATGATGTTTACAACAAGGTGGCTCTTACCTTCAACACAAAGATCAAAACACTTATGGCTACTCTTAAACCATCATTGGGAATAATAAACTTCTACACAGACATTTATAGTCTTATACTAGACACAGTTCAAAACCCAAGAAAATATGGTAAGTTCTTATGTTCAAATTATTTTGCATGTTTAACTCGCAGTACTAAATATAATATTGTAATTAAACTTGTAGTTTATATATTTCTAGCTAGAATTACTAATTTTGAGAGAAAAAAAAACCCTCGGTATCAAAATCGAAATTTTATGCTAATATAGTGACTTTCTTATAATTTGCTCATAAATAAACTGCAGGTTTCATAGAGGCATCAAAGGGCTGTTGTGGATCAGGATTAGAGTTCGGGCCAAGCTGTAAAGGGTTGTCTACTTATGTCAACAGAAGCAAGTATGTTTATTGGGATGCTGTTCATTTTACTGAAAGAATGTATAAAATTATTTCTGAAGAAGCTCTTCAATCTCTTATGAAGACTCTTGCTTAATCATGTTACAACCCCTTAACTAGTGTCTCTCTATGTTTGTATGTATAAGTGTGCTAGATTTTGTTAAGTTTCATTATAATATGTATTTTTATATGTACTTGTATCATGTATTAACTATCTTTCATGTAAAATGAATATTTAGTTTTGTAAAAATGGTAGAATGCCAATTTCTGCAAATTTGGTCTCCGATTTACCAAATTTATGTCGCAACAAGTTGTGGTTGCAAAAGGTGGAGTGACGGTGTGATTTACTTAAAGAACCTTCTTCATCTTACCTGCAATTCATCATTCTTCATCTTACCAGCAAACCATGAACAAAGAAACCCATATGCACTCCACCACATTCTGGTGAGGTTGATAGGAAAGTCGATGAATTTATAGCCAAGTTTAGAGAGCATATTAAGCTTCAGCAAGTGGCCTCAGCTTAAATCTTATCTGAAATTATTTCAACTCTTGAACATCCAGACTTAGTCGATTCAACAAGAAAAGATTCATGTGAGGCGTAATCATGCCGACGTTGGAGTTGCAACGAATCAAGATGGGGTGACAGCGACGTTGGTGGTTTAGTGGCAGGGAAGGGAGGAGATTGGGTTTTCCGGTAGGGCTTCATGACTGGAAAGATGAAGGGAAATGAGTGTTTTGTCCGATGAAAAGGGGGTATTTCTCATACGACATCATGAGAGAGAGAGAGAGACGGTGAGTGGGACCCTTTTTAATTTAATAATAAAATAATAGTAAAGAAAAAAAAGGAAAAAAACAAATAGAAAGGGGCAAATCCGTCATTTGAAGAATTTTTAAAGTGCTTTGGACCGAACTCGCAACAAAATAAAAACTTTGGACTTGTGGTGCTAGTCCAAACTTTTTTGGACCAAAGTGGTAATTTTGAGCAAACCACAGGGGCCATTTGTGCAGTTTGGTCTTGTAAAAATGGTAGCAATAATTCTTAATTAAGTTTAAATGTACACAACAAGAAAACAGAGTACTAGGGACGTCGCTTTTAACGACTACTAGACCTTTAGCGACGACACCAGACAAGCCACGCTTGGTGTAGCTACTAAAAGACAATGTCGTCGCTAAAGGCATGGACCGGAGATCCGTCGGAGACAAGCTACTTTCAATCTTGTCCCTTGGTTTGGAACATGATCCAACGGATAGGATTCATTCATGTGGAAGGAAATAGCGACGACACCTTTAGTGGCGTCATGTCGTCGCTATTGGTGTCGATCCGTTAACCCACATTGAACGAAATCTTGGCCCTACGATTCTTACACGATCCAACGGTCAATAATCTCCAGAAAAGGCGCGTTCAGTTCCCTCCAGCTTGTCGCCACTATTAGCGTCGCCACTAAAGGGTTATCCCTTTTGTTCAACTTCCTCGCACCAGACGACGTCTAATCTGCCAAAACACTCACATGGTTCTGTCTGGAGGCGATTTACGACAACACCGCAACTTCCACTGACATCACTACTCTCCACCCTACTCTGATCGCCGACTGCCACCGTTGATTAACCTCATTCACCGATTGCCAACGCCTGCCGACTGCCACCTCCGCTTGCCGAATGTCACCTCTGGTTACCACCTGCTACCACCGGCCACGTTCGTTTTCTTTACCCATTTCTCTTTCTCTTCATTTCTGACCACCGGTTACGAATGGGACATACATAATTGTCATTTTTTTCTTTTTCTGTGTTGAAGGTTCCGGTGAGGATACTTCACCACCGATTGCAACTACATTTTCTAGCGAGCACAGGTTTTCCGGCGAGCATAGGTTAGTTTTTCTTTTTCACTTCTAAATGTGTATTGTATGTATATGGATATGTTAATCATTGTATGAATTTATGAATGCATATGTAAAATTGATGTATATATTTGAAACTACTGAATGTAGATGAAAATATAAACTGTAATTGATGTATATATGTGAAATTATTGAATGTAGACAAAAATTGATGTATATTGATATATATATGTGAAACTATTGAATGTAGACAAAAAATTGATGTATATAAACTATAATTCCCTAGTGGGAAATCAAAATCAATATCTCCTTCAATTTCTAGCCACCATATTTGTTTAAGTTATGTAATTGTATGAAACCTTCAAAAAAACAATAATAACGAATAAATTAAAAACCTTAACACTGATGTGCCTTATGTGAAACTGTTGAATGTGTATGTAAAAATGCATGTATTGTTGAATGTGTACGTAAAAATGTATGTATTGTGGAATGTATATGTAAAATTTATCCTAAACAACCCATTGTTGATCCTAAAAAAGTGCACTATGATGTGTCTTATGTTGGTTAAACATTTTTTATATGTTTACCAATTTTATTATGTAAATAATGACTTAAACAAATAAAAGAAAATCAATAATTAATGGTAAAGTTCTATTTAAAAGAAAACAAAATTCGTAATGTTTTTTTTGTTTTTCTAAAAATGGAAAAATAAAATGAATATTGTCAAATATTTCTAAGAATATGACAGTTATTATTCAATAATACAACCATTATAAACTAATTTTATTATTTATAAATTAGTTACTGAAATATTAATTTATAATGATATTATTTACCCAAATACATTAAGCGTATGTATTTACATATAGTTTCATGAACTACCTTATATTAAATCACTAATCTACCGATTATATATGAAAATTTTAACTCAAAAAAGTAAAAACAAATAAACAATCTTATTATGAAAACAAAAAGACTTATATAAAAAAATTAGATTAAATGAATTTAACTCATCGAAAATCGCTTTAAGTGTTTTTCTAAAAATGACATAATAAAATGAATATTGTCAAATATTTCTAAGAATATGATAGTTATCATTCAATAATACAACCATAATAAACTAATCATATTATTTATAAATTAGTTATTGAAATATTAATTTATAATGATATTAGTTACCCAAATACATTAAGCGTATGTATTTACATATAGTTTCATGAACCACCTTATATAAAATCACTAATCTACCGATTATATATGAAAATTTTAACTGAAAAAATTAAAAATAAATAAACATTCTTATTATGAAAACAAAAAACTTAAATAAAAAATTAGATTAAATGAATTTAACGCATCGAAAATCACTTTAAGTGTATTGACATTCAGAGTTTAAGACCTTTTAATCTAATCAAATATATTATTATTTTACCATTATATTTTTTGTGATTATTATAATCTGACAATTAATTAACTAAAAGAAGTAGTCAACGTTACAACATATCACAATCGAAGCCGTTACTTAATCAATCATATCCATTAACTTTATCGCTTCAATATCTATATTTACAAAAAACAAATTAAAAAACAAAAAAAACAAAAAAACAAAAAACAAAAAACAAAACAAAACAAAAATACAATATCCAGTTTATAATTAAACAAAAAACACATCAAACAACTTCTTCGTTATATGTTAAAAAAATCAATGATGACAAATGAAATACGTAAATCATTGTTTGAGGTTCAATGACAATACTTACATATTTTATAGCAATAATTCGTAACTAATCCATTTGTTGTCACGTTTATGTTGTTTTGAATGTTGATTTGGAACATAAATAAAAGATGATATAAGTAATATATATATATAGATATATATATATATATATATATATATATATATATATATATATATATATATATATATATATATATATATATATATATATACTACAATTGTTTAAAGTAAAATGTAATAATACAAAACAAAAACGAAAAACATAAGACGGTAAATCTACTAAGTTGTAATCTAAAAACTTAATTATTTAAAGTACAATGCTATAATAATAAAAAATTGGTTTTTTAGTTTAAGTATCTTCCTTTATTTTCCTTTTAAATCATCAAGAGCTTATAAATACCCGCCTGAAATTGATTTAGGTCCCGTTTGATAGTTTCTGTATGGGAAAGTGTTGTCTGGTAAAGTGTTGTCTGAGAAAGTTTTCTGACTAGGAAAGAAACCATGCTGTTTGATTGTACATCTGATTGACTGTGCTGAAATGAAAAAAAGAAGTAATAATTCAATAAAAAATAAATTTAAAAAAAGTTATTTAAAAAAATTAATAATCCAATAAAGAAAGAAAGAGGCGGGGTTTGGTGTATAATTGTCTTTCCAACCCATTCAGCCAGAAAGATATGATTTTGGGGCTTTCTGGGAAAGACATATCTTACCGGGAAAGACCCCTTCTTTTGTGCAAATCAAACAGTCTTTCCGGTCCATTCAGCCAGAAAGATCTGTTTGGACCTGGAAAGATGCGTATCAAACGGGGCCTTAGAAATTAATTTCGGGTTGTCCCCGTTTTGGGACTGCTTTTTGAATACTTTATCTTATTTAGGATGTGAATGTGTATTACATGATTGATTGTTTAAGAAAGATTTGGTTGTTATTTTCTCTTTGCTCCTCGATTATATATTTCTATATATACTTAGGAGCTAAGGGAAAATGCTGCCGAATTTTTCTTAAACGGTTAATCAGGTAATACACATTCAGATATGAGGTAATGTATTCAAAAGGTGGGTTTAGAAGCCTAACCTTGTGAATACTCTATCTGATTAAGCGGTTACTCTATCCTTATAAATATTCAATCCTAATTTTACTTCTTCTAGAGTAAACACTAAAACCTAACTTATGTTTCAGTTGCAACATGTCTATTGATAAAACCTAGACTACTATTGAAAACTGTAACTCTACCTTGTTCCAACAAGGACTCGAATCTTTTTTCGAGAGGTCCAAACCACAGGTCAATAACAAAGGTCAAATCAGATGCCCGTGTAACAAATGTAATGTCAATAAATTTATACTACTATCCATTATGAAATTCCATATACTTCAACATGTTTTTAGTCCACATTATAGCATATGGAAGTATCACGGCGAAAATACAGTTCATTCGGTTGTCGAAGACATACTGCATAGTAACAACATGGCCGATGTTATTGTTGATGTTATGGGGGTGTGATTGAAAATGATACCAACCGCGACGAAGGGAACCTGGATACAGAGGGTAGCGGTGTCGATGATGGATTTTAAAAGTTGTTAGAGGAAGTCCAATTAAAATTATATCCTGGATGTTCGTTTTCGTCCCTTGACTTTTTAG